CCTTTTTGTCCCTAACTTTTTTAAAGTATAAAATATTTGACATATTATTATCTACAATAGTTCTTTCTGTCAATCCTATAACAGATTGAAATTAGCAGTAATGGAGGAACAGGCCTAACAAACACAAAAAACCTGTGCTGTCCTAGAGATCATCAAGATCACTTTAGCATTTTCCCTGTCAGTAGGAAGGATCCACTGGAACCTCCCCCACATGAAGAAACTTCCTTGTATTTGGTAGAACAGGACTGTTGAAATAATGTTTCTCTGAAGTATCAGCAATACAGAGAGAATTAACAAAACTGAGCAAAGTTCTGATCAAATGTAGCAATTTGTTTCTTCCATAAGAGGGTGTGTTCTCTTTTTTCCAGAAAGCTTTCTGAACACTGCATTATTTTCAAATGCAAAAATGTCAGAGGCCTGAGAAAGTTTCTAATAATGCAGTCATATCATAACTACTGTCTAGACATTTTAGACATGACCTTTATAGCTTAGATCACTGAAGAAAAATTTTCTAAATTGTATTTTTAAATTTATATGATCAAGGGAAAACTATCTTCCTATTAGCTAACCAATATACAATAGTCACCTCAACCAATTATGGCATAATCTGGCAAAGGTATGAAAAACAACCTTAAAAAAAACCAACAACACAGGGCGCCTGGGTGGCTCAGTTGGTTAAGCGACTGCCTTCGGCTCAGGTCATGATCCCGGAGTCCTGGGATCGAGTCCCGCATCGGGCTCCCTGCTCAGCGGGGAGTCTGCTTCTCCCTCTGACCCTACTCCCTCATGTTCTCTCTCTCTCTCAAATAAATAAAATAAAATCTTTAAAAAACAAACAAGCAAACAAAAACAAAAAAAAAAACACACAAAAACCTGTAGTAAGCCACGGTACTCAATTTACCATCTTCTGTAATAAACATATCTTAACAATTCCTCTAAGGCTGCCTTTACTGTCAATGGCCCATCCCCAACCAAGTGATAAATGATACTGGAGAAAGGCTCACAAAGCAAAACAGCAGTATTCAAAGATTTAACAGTTATTATTACAATTGTTTGCAAGCAACACTGAAAGCCGTAATATATATTAATTTGATTTTGTGGGAGCAAGTGGCTAGTGAATGAGCTTAGCTGACCTTCCAGCATTCACATCTTAAGGGCAACATTGTTCTCGACTCCTACACATTTGTATACTTGTCTCTTATTAAGGGTCTGAAAGAGTCATACATTTTTCAGTAATACTTCACTGCATTTTACAGAGAACTCCAAATGCTATATTTGCAATTTTAGAGAGTTTCAAAGTTTGTTTGTTTGCAAGATTCAACTCTCCCACAAATCAAGAGTTGACTATGTATTTGATAATTGTGCCACATTCTTACAATTCAAAGTATAAAACTAGACCTTTATAAAACTATAAGCAGGGTCTAAAAATTTGATCACACCGAGTGCAAAGCTGTATCATATCCAATTTGCATTATAAAAGGCCACACTATCACAGAATTCAATACGCTTTTAAAAATAGTTTTGATAGGGCGCCTGGGTGGCTCAATTGGTTAAGCGACTGCCTTCAGCTCAGGTCATGATCCTGGAGTCCCGGGATCGAGTCCCGCATCAAGCTCCCTACTCAGCAGGGAGTCTGCTTCTCCCTCTGCCCCTCCTCCCTCTCATGCTCTCTGTCTCTCTCTCATTGTCTCTCTCGCAAATAAATAAAATCTTAAAAAAAAAAAATAGTTTTGATAACACTGTGTTTTTAAAATTATAACCCTGGCTAATATTCAAAGGTATAGTGAAAGTTTGTCTTCTTAGGGAAAAACTATAGCTGAACTATAAGGACTCACTGAAAAACACTGGAAATATTCTACTACATACATAAACTATGGTAAAATCATGACAGCTATTAAAACAGGAAAGAAAATCACTCGTTCGTTTAAAAAAATGTGTAGAGCACCTACTAAGAGCCAAGCACTCTCCTGAAAAGAGAAAGATCAGACATACTCCCTTCTCTCCAGAGTGTATGTAAATCCAAGCAGGGAGGAGAACAATTAAACAATTACAAAATATATAATGATTGACAGAAGTACATATTGGTGCAAATAACTCAGATGAAGTAAAACCAGAGAAAGCTCCCCAAAGTGACATTTAAGCTTAGACTCCAAAACTAAGGCTGGACTAAAAACTAAGGTTAGTCAGACTTGGGGAGGGGGGTGGGAGGGCAAGAAAGAAATGTTCCAGACATAAAGAATGTGAGGTGAGAACACAGATTCAAAATGAAAGGGAGAGAGAGAGATGCAGAGAACCTGACACAAGGTGAAGCTAAAAAGGTGAAGCAGGAACTAGATCACAGAGAACCTAGTAAGATTAAGTCTGTTAAGGAATTTGGACGTTAGGCTAAGGTAAAAGAAAACACCTAAAGGTTTTAAGCAAAAAAAGACATTAAAATTTGCATATTAGCAAAATATGGCTGAAGAATTAGAGACGCCATGGGAGGCAGGAAGAGCAAGTGGCTGCTGTTGCAGGTGTCTTGGATCAGAGATGATGGTGGTATGGAGCAGGATTGTGGTAACTGGTATGGAAAGAAAGAAGACTGGCCAGAGAAAGATTAGAAAAATAGACTAACAGGACTGGATTTGGTAACTGGTTGGATGGGGGGAAGAGGAGAGAGGAAAAAATCATTTATTATTCCCAGATTCCTGAACCTGGCAACTGAGGGAATCATGGTACCAACTAACCATTTCCCTTCTGTTGTTAATATTTACAAGGTCCTAAAAATATTACAGTGCAAAAAAGTATTTTAGATTTGATTCTGGCAAATATGATTTTTATCTCTTAAGCTATTTTCTACTTATTCTGCATAAAATATTCAAATGAGTCTGTATTCTACAAGCATACACCAACAAGAAAGGAAATTCAGTTCGTAAAGAAACATGCTTAGTGTATGGAGAAGACCAGCTTGAAATTAAAGTTTGCTATTCAAAATGAATCTTCTAATAAAAAAAGCAAGAACTGACAGTATCCTCAAAACACATAAGGTATCTCAAAAAGTGTCTTTCTTGAACCATCATATCACCAAAATATACACAGGAGTAGCTTTTACATAAAACCATGACAGGTTTTTTTTTTTTTTGAAGAATTTAACAGAATTTTGTCAAAGTAATAATCTACATAAAAAAGAGCACTACCCTTTGAAATCCAATGTCACGAACAAAAGGCAGTAGCTTTCAAAACCCACTCATTCATTCAGAAACTTACAAGCCCTAAACTTCTGTAAATAGATTAGCATAGGCCAAGCAGATTAGTTTCTCTTTAAATAGTCTCATTTTGTCTCTATAATAAACTATACCCAATACTGTGAAAACAGTCTGCTCTAAGAGGAATTTCATGAGCTAATTTTTTAAAAATTTTTTATTAAGTAAACTCTCCACCCAACATGGGGCTTGAACCCACGACCCCTAGATCAAGAGCCGCAGGCTCCACCAACTGAGCCAGCCAGGCGCCCCAGGAGCTACTCATTCTCTTAAACATTGTATCATCTAATAAATAAATCTCATATTAAGTTGCTGTATCAATGTATTTATAACATACATATATATTTATACAGGAGGTAACAAATTAGAAGATACACCTTTCAATTATTTGCAAAAAGTTAAATTACCACTTTATTCTTTCAAGGCAATTTTATGTATCACAAAATAAGACTTTCCTCACACTGGATTCAATTAATGTATGAAATAAAAATGAGATGCTCCATACTACAGGTACCTAGCAACCCCCTTAAACCAACTCCCATGGACTTCTCCCACACACTATTTCATCAGTTATCTAGGGAGTCTGTGAGGGATGGCCTATCCTTTTGGCTTGCAAAACAGACACAGCTTGAGCACCTACCACGTCAAGAAGTGCATTCAATTGTGAAAAATGAATGAAAACTATTTGTTTTCTTAAGTATCATTGCTTCCTTTAGTCTGTGACAGACCCAGTTCTCATGAAAACTTACCTCATCAACTCTAGTGAACCTGGTGATTCCTGATTGCTATCAGAGGGACTATTCCCTACCTACATTTCCAAAATCAAACCTCTAACAAAGTTTTCCCACCATTCTTAACCACATTGGAGGAAGGGACCGTCCTCCCATAGCTATACGTCTTGTTGGCTTTTCTACAGTTTTCCTAGACGTTCCTGTTGATAGGCAACACTTTAAAGTAATTTAAGGGGCGCCTGGGTGGCTCGGTCGTTAAGCGTCTGCCTTCGGCTCAGGTCATGGTCCCAGGGTCCTGGGATCGAGCCCCACATCAGGCTCCCTGCTCCGCGGGAAGCCTGCTTCTCCCTCTCCCACTCCCCCTGCTTGTGTTCCCTCTCTCGCTGTGTCTCTGTCAAATAAATAAATATTATCTTTTTTAAAAAAATAAAGTAATTTAAGATTTGTGGTATCTTTCACGCCTTAGTTAAGAAAGACGGTGCTAATACAAGAACTTGCCAAAGATTACAGTGCGGACGACTGAATGTTTACTGCTAAACAAAAGAATTATACTCTAAGAAAAAAGTCCTCAGGAAAGAACATATCCCTAAAGCCATAAATAATTTCTAACATAATTAGAAGTTCACTCGGATAATAGTAATTCAAATCTCCCAAACCTCGACAGTTACTACCAAGTTTTCCCATGAAATGGAGATTAGGGATCAGCCTTAGGAACACTGAGAGAGGTAACAGGCTCTAGAACTGAAAGGGGGAAGAGAAACCAGAGAAGAGAAGCATGGTGAGGAAAGAGAAAAACTAGTTCTAACGTGGCACAGAGCACAAGAAAAAGACATTTTTGAACGGATTTACGAGGAGTAACTCGAGCCCAAACCCTCACAGACCGAGAGGCGAACTCCGAAGTCGGTGGAAGAAGGCGCCCGAGCCCAGTGACAATGGGAACGGCTCCTTTCTAGGACGGTGGGCACCGAGAGGAGACCGTGCCTCGCCTCGGCCACCTTCCCGTCCTCTCTTCAGGAGCAATACCCACCTGGAGACCGCCATGGCCGGGCGCCGGCGGTTCGGGGCTCCCCGCGAGCTACGCGCCGCACCGCTGAGGCGCTAGTTTCCAGAGAGCAGAGCGGCGAAGGCCCAGGCCGCGGTCAGAGGGGAGCGGCCGGTGCGTCGCGGGGCGTCCCGCCGCGGGCCCTTGAGCATCTGCCCCGCCGCCTGCCCGAATTCGTCCCCGCCGCGGCCGAGGAGCAGGGGTCTGAGGCTGCGGCGGAGGCGGCAGTCCTCCGACCCGCACGACTTCAAACCGGGGGCCCCCAGCCCCGCTCTTTGCTGACGCAGGCGTCGGCACGCTGGACTGAGCGTCAGCGCGCCGGAAGTGACGTCAGCTCACCGCCAGGGCCTCCGCTGCGCGAGTGAGACGAAAGCGTAGGAGTAGCGTCTGCTCGGCGGCTGGCGCTTGAAAGAAAATGTTTGTGGCTCGTTGTCGTTAACGAGGCAGGAGAGATGAATAAGGGTACACTTATTTCCTAGAGATGGAAAAAAGGCGATTTAGCCAAGGTTCTGGAAGTTCAAAAACTTAGTTTTTAATTCCTTATTGCCTTGATCCTCATCCAACCAGACTGCTAGAGAAAACAGGATCCTGAAGAACTTAGGTGCTCTACTCGATGTGGCGATGCCAGTGGGAGGGGTGAAAGCAAGAAAGATCTGCAGTGGCGCTTAGGGCAGGGGCTCCAGTGTTTGCCATAATCGCCAGAAGGTCTGCATAGCTATCGTAGGGAAGGCTTTCTGCCAACCATTTTGCCAAACCAAGTTTGTTTTCTAAGTAGTCTATGTTATAGATACATGATTTTTCTCAACCCCATGTGAAAATTCCCAGCCACCCCCCCTTTTTTCTTTGGCTTATCTGGCTATTGAGTCGCTTAATTCATTAGGCTTTTAAACATTCTGTCACTTAGTGCAAGTCCTTACCACCTTAAACTTGATTTTTATGATAGTGGCTAAGGTATTATTTTTCCAGCTTCAGTCAAGTCCATCTTAGAGACCACTAAGAGATCAATATCAAAAAACACTGCTTTGGGGGCGTCTGGGTGGCTCAGTCGGTGAAGCGGCTGCCTTCCGCTGGGGTCAAGATCCCAGGGTCCTGGGATTGAGCCCCACATCGGGCTCCCTGCTCAGCTGAGAGCCTGCTTCTCCCTCTCCCTCTGTCGGCGCTCCCCCTGCTTGGGCTTTCTCTCTCCAACAAATAAATAAATAAAATCTTTAAAAACACACACACACAAAACCACTGCTTTTATCATGTCACTCTGCATATAAAATTTGTCCACTGGCTTCTCATTACCTGAAGAGTCTGTCTCAACCCCTGAGTCTGCTTTTCATCTATAAAATGAAGCTAGTGAGAAGTACCATAGAAGGTTATGGAAATAAAATGAGGTCATGTATCTAGGAAAGCTTACAAGAGCCTTATAAACCATAAAGTAGTATATAAATGTAAGGGAAAAGAAACGAACTTAAGTGCCTGCTATGTGGTAGGCATTTGGCATGCATTATCTCCTATAATTCCTAGGCCAACCCTGTAAAGTGAATTTTAACTTTCAATCTATTTTGGGGGGGGATTTTATTTTTAAGTAATCTCTACACCCAACATGGGGCTCAAACTCACAACCCCAAGATCAAGAGTCACATGCCCTACCAACTGAGCCAGCCAGGCACCCATTAATCTTTAATTTAGAGGTGAGGAAACTAAGCTCAGAAAGTTTAAGTAATTTGCCCACGATCCAAGTTAGTAATATTTACTGTTGTTCATTCATTCAACAAATACTTATTTGGCACCTGCTCTGTGTCAGGCACTGTTTGTACTGTTAGGCAAAATCCGATTAAGCTGATGTTCAAGTATCTTCACATTTCACAGTCTTCTCACACCCACCTTCTCAATGTATTTCCCACCACTGAAACTAAAAAGCACGTTACTACATTCATTCATTCAGCCAAAATTAAGTACCTACCACTTGCTGAACTCTACCAGAGATTGGAGCTTCAAAAGAAACCAAAACAGACAGGGTGTTCACTTTGGTGAACTTACATCCCAATGAAAGGAAAAAGGGTAAACAGATAAACAAGAAAATGTCATGTTTATATTCCATGTAAAGCAGAATGATGGGATAAATAGGGTGATTAGAGACTCTAGACTCGGTAATTAGGGAAAAACCTGAGGCCTGAATGACAAGAGGGAGCCAGCTGTGTGAAGATCTGGGGAGACTTCCAGGTAGAGGATACACCTAGTGTAAAAGCCTAAGGAAAGTCGGCTGTGTGGGGAGATGAACTAGGAGATAGAAAGGGGCCATTGTAAGGAATTTGGATTTTACTCTAGATGCAGTAGAAAGTCATAGGAGAGTTTTAACGTGTGACTAAAATTATCTGATATATATATATTAAAAATCTTACTCTTTAATGTCCAGAGGTAAGTAGGTATATAGTTTGAAATGACATTTAGAAGAGAGGAAATGGCTAGTATCATAGGTTTGTAAGGGATAGTGTAATAATCGAATATATTGATGTCAGACTGTCTTGTTTTTAAATCCTTCCTCACCACACTTAACAGCTATGTGTCCAAGGGAGTTGTATGACCTTTCTAAGCTCCAGTTCCTTCACCCATGAAATGGGAATAGGACCTCCTACAGTGGCAGTGAATATTAAATGAGATAATGAATAAAATGCATTTAACCAAGTGACTGCCACAATAAGCATGCAAAATTATTATTAACTACATTGATTTTTCTTTTTGTTAACTATGTCACCTTGAGTGAGTGACTTAACTTCTATGTCTCATCTGTAAAATGGTGATGATCATCATACTGGTCCACAACACATATTTGAAATCCCTGCCAGGTGGTTTTCTGAATTTAGAGGTTTTTTAGATTTAGATTTAGATTTAGATTTAGATTTAGATTTAGATTTAGATTTAGATTTTAGGTTTTGATTGGATTTAGTAATCCAGTGCATATACCTTGTATTATGTCACACTCAACAGCTTCTAGGGCAGCACCCTATAATCAAATACATTTATAGCTCTGCAGCAAAACATATGAATAACCAGCCATAGTAAGAGGAATAAATCAAAGACTGTAAATAGCTGCAAGCCAGTTCAGGTCAGGTTTTGCTGCCAAAAGAATTTTTTAAATATGGTTTTTAGACCCTTTCCAGTTTCAGAATTATAAATAATGGATTACAAACCTGTACTCTGTAAAGTTATGGTAAGGGTTAAATGAGCAATACATGATACACTTAAAAAATACTAAGTGCTAAATAGATATTAGCTGTTATTTTTACCACCAGAAAGGTGGTTTCAAAAATCAGTGGCAGGCCTTCCCTGGGCCTGTGTCTGAGTGTCCACCACTGCAGGCCTGCTCAGACACCGAAATCTAACTGCAGCCATGAGCAGCAATGAGTGTCTCAAGTGTGGATGATCTGGCTATGGAGGCCCAGGAATGCCCTACTAGTGGAGGCCATGGTCATGGAATGAGAAGCTGTGGCAGAGGTGGAAAGTTTCCAGTTTGGTTCCTTATCTCCTCCAGACACCTGTTATCACTGTGGTGAGTCTGGTTATCTTGCCGATGATTGTGATCTTCAAGAGGATGCCTGCTATAACTGCGGTAGACATGGCCACATGACCAAGGACTGCCAGGAGCCCGAGAGAAAGAGAGAGAGAGAGAGAGAACAATGCTGCTACAACTGTGGCAAACCAGGCCATCTGGCTCATGACTGTGACCATGAGGATGAGCAGAAGTGCTGTTCTTGTGGACAATTTGGATACATTCAGAAAGACTGCTCCAAAGTGAAGCATGATAGGTGTGGTGAAACTGGTCACATAGCCATCAACTGCAGGAGAACAAGTGAAGTCAACTGTTAGCACTGTGGTGAGTCAGGGCACCTTGCACAGGAACGCACGATGGAAGCCACAGCTTAATTATTTTCCTTTGTTGCCCCTCCTTTTTCTGATTGATGGTTGTATTATTTTCTCTGAATCCTCTTCACTGGCCAAAGGTTGGCAGAGTCTACTCCCAGGCCAGTGAATTGTACTTGCCATGTAAAAGGAGAAAATGGGAAAAAATCGACTTTCTGCATTTAACTACCAAAAAAAAAAAAAAAGTTTATGTTTAGTTTGCTAGAGGTGCTATGTATAATGCTTTGCTAAAGAACCCCTTTCTGCCCCACTGGTGAATAGGGATTGATGAATGGGAAGAGTTGAGTCAGACCAGTAAGCCTGATCTGCATTTCTTGGATATGTTCCCATGTAGAAAATAAAAACAATTCTGGAAGTATCTATGAGTTTCCATAAATAACTTAAAGTTTTAGCATAATGATGGCCTTGGATTGTCTGACCCCATAGCTATTAAATAATATCAAGTAACATCTGTATGAAGCCCTACATAGAACATACAGTTGAGTGGGAGTAAACAAAATAAAAAGACAAATGTGTGTTAATGGCTGTGTGAGAAAAATTGAGATAAAGGCCCAAACAGGAACAACTTCATCACAGCATTGAGGCTGGATATGCATAAGGTGATGGCAAAGGTTTAGAACACATCTTTTTCAAAGACTAAGTCTAAAACCCAGAGTAAACATTTATGCTCAGAGTTAGCATAATTTGGAGTTATTCAGGAATTGCAGAGAAATGCATTTTCACAGAAATCACGCTGTTATTTTCGTATACTATATCACTTAGACAACTGTGTTTCAGTTTTTAAAAGTCAGATGGAAAAAAGCAACTGAAGTCCTAGAAAATAGAAATGTAATTTTAAACTATCCAATAAAGCTGGAGGAGGAAGGGGAGTTTGACTAAAGTTCTTTTTGTTTGTTTCAAATTTTCCTTAATGTATATGGTGCAAAATGCCATAATCCCATTCTCCTCCCTACCTTCCCAGAAATAACTTATGAAGTTTGTGTGTATACTTCCTGTCCATGTTTTTATCATTTTGCTATATATATGTGTATCCATAAAGAACAAAAAGTATCATTTATAAGCTCATGTTTAATTAATTAATTAACATTATGTTTCCAAGATCTAGTCCATTATATGAAAGTCCTTAATTTATTCACTTCTTTACTGATACTTAGGTTTTTCCAATTTTGCACTATTATAAATGAAGCTGCAATTAGCATACTTTTTTTTTTAATATTTTATTTTTAAGAATCTCCACACCTAATGTGGGGCTTGAACTGACAACCCCAAGATCAAGAGTTTACATGCTACAGACTGAGCCAGCCAAGCTCCCTTGCAATGAGTATGCTTGACATGAGCTTTACATATATGTGCATAAACAAATATAAAATTATTACAAGTGTATTGAAAG